GCAGTAAACTCACCCTATTTAAGGGTGGGTGAACCTCATTTACATCCTTTCCACTCTCTCTCTTCCTCTCTCTCTCTCTCTCTTCTCTACCCTCTCTCTCTCTCTACAAATCTGATTTTGATCCAAAACGCCCCTTTCGAGCTCCATAATCATAATTAATCTATCCTAGCTTGTTTTTTTAGCTTGTTATACATGCAAATTCGTGTTTAAATCATCCAAAAGCCTCAAAGTTATTGTTTACGGCCATAGAACAACCCCAAACCGCAAACACTCATAAAATGGGGTTTTAATGCCCCAATTACCCTTCCAAACACTTCTAGTGCTTAACTATGACTTGGGACTTGCATGTATGAGCTTAAACCCAAAATCTTGTCATTTGGGGAGTAAACATGAGTTTACGGCCCAAGAACATTCTTGGACATAAACCCCTCTTCATAGGCCGTAAACACCATTTAAGGTGTTAAATTGCCCTTAAACACCTCATGGCTTGGGTTAATGTCTAATCAACCACCATCGAAGTAGGGACCTTAAACATCAAAGAAACCATGTCATCATAGAGTTTAGGACCGTAAACGCCTAAGGAAATGGTTCTTGGGCTGTAAACTCCCTTAAGGAGGTTAAATGATGCCCTAATTTCCCCCTATGGCTTGGAATAATGCATAGAACCTTGTATTCTTTCATTTGAGACCTTAAATCATGAAGTGAGGGGAAAAGTAAGAGTTTACGACCATAAAATCTATGTTATACAGTTGTGAACTCCCTTAAATGGTTCATTTGAAGCTTAGCCACTTCTTATGCCCTAGAATTGAAGCTAGCTTAAGTCCCCAAGTGATATAAGACCTTTGAGCAACCAAGAACACACCACCCATGAGTTTACGACAGTAAACTCATGGGGATATGGTCATTGGGCCGAAATCTCCTCTAAGAGTTTACTCTTGAAGAGTAAACTCCCTATCTAAGCCATACACTCCTTTGTTGCAACCCAATAGCCTCCTAGCACTTGACCAAAGTGTTTTTCCGCACATTAGGATGTTTATACATGTTTAATTAGTGTTATAATCACTAATTATATGTAAACATATGTCTTCATATGTTACTAGGTCATTAAGTGTGTTCAAGTCTTCACTTAACACCGAGCACTCAACTGATACTTCTATCCGATCCACTTGCTTCAGGTGAGTTCATACTCCTGAATTAACCTTTTAAATGTTTTTAAATGCTTTTATGGGGGGCCGCGGGGGGGGGGGGGGGAATACAAGTTGAAACATGCTAGTTATCATATCAATCATAGGTGATTAATAACCCGCATGTTAAAGGTTTTATTACACTTTCATCTGTTTTACCAAGTATATTACTTCAAATGATTTTTCCAAAAACCTTATTACTTATTTAAATCTTTCTCAAATATCCTTCATGTTGTATGTTTTCCTTCAAAACCTATTACATCAGTGTTTTAAACAAAGGTTTTCTTCACTTAAACTGTTTTATAAAAATCATTTTCAAAGCTGTTTATGAAAGGTTTTTCAAAGCTTTTTTTACAAAATGACATCAAGTCGTAAATTCTTATTTGTAAAGGTTTTCCAAAGGTTTTCCGAAGTTTTCTCCTATGCTTTTATTTCGTTAAGTGCATGCCTATATTGTATAGTTATATAAAATAATGTTTAAAGGACTTAGGAAGGCTAGTTCGATGTATTCCTTTTCCTCATTGGGATGTGGTCTCGTGGGTATCGGGTATCCATCCGAAGGTCGTTTAAACATTAATTGTATATCATGTATACATATATGTGATGGGTTTTAGCCATAAGAACTTTCCTATGTGCGCATGCAAAACCCTAATGCTCGGATCTAGGCTTTCTAATTAAACATGCTTTGAATCCAAGACTTCTAATGGCTAATTAGGTTAAATAACAACATTGAAATAGATCTAGAATCATACCTTTGGATTCCTTGTTGATCTTGTTGTCTTGGAGCTTCTAGAGTCACAAATGTCACTCCTCTAATGGCTTACAAACACCAATAGCAAGCAAGATGATTTAGGAGAGAGGAGAGGGGAGGAATTCGACCAGAGTATCTCTACTTTAGATGGTGTGCCGAATTCCCTCACCCCTAGGGTCTATTTATACTTGTAGACTCCTTAAGGTTACAACCTAAACCCTAATTGGATAATCTTCTCTTAAGGCTATCCAAATCCATTCCATAGATAAGTCTTTGGACGATTTTAGCTATCCTATATCTCATAGAATTCATCCAAAGCATATCCTAATGGATTTACAGTCTAAAGTTTAACTATCAAACAATTGACAATTTATACACTATTATTTAATTAATCTCTTTAAGTCACCAAATTAATTCCAATTAATTTATGACTTATATTAATCAAATAACCATATATTATTCCTTATAATATTTACTCTCTTTTTAACAAATCATCCATCAAGTTGCTATGGTGAAGGCAACCCAAAAGGACCATGCACAACCGGATCAAATACTTGCCTATTATAGTTGCAGCCTTAGACACTATTCCAACAGTCTCCCACTTGGATAAGTCTAGTAACTATACAAGTACAATTCGGTTTGCAATCGTAGCTCTCAAAGACGCTATCAACTCTGATCTAATCAATCTTGTCCTTTAGATAAGGGATCTTACAGTCCTCTGTTAGATATCATGCTGACAATCCTATGGAATGGTTAGTCAAGCATTTAGATTTCTCGATCTCTGATTTATTTGACATAGAACTTAATCAAACACATCAATTCAGTTCTGACCGGGCCCGGCACATAAGTCAAATCAAATCATCGAGTGGCCAAGATATCTCTTCTACCCTCTTAGGATAAAATTTACAGATAAACTTCGACTTATATGCATTTACTTATTCATTAACCAACTATACACAACAATGCGTTTTATAACACCAAGTTACTGATGCGTTTTCGCATTATCAATGCACAATCAATTAACAAATAATAAATCATATATCTAGGTTTTAAGACTATATGATATTATCGTCTTGCGATCACCTTTTATATCGTATTCCATAAAGTGATTCCAGCAAGCGCGGGTTTATTCCAATGCTCAAAACCAGTTCATAAGCACTCATGAACGTTGCAGCAACCCTTGCTATGTCTAACACCATTTAGACATTCTACACACCAATTCATGACAATCTTCATTCATATCTACTCCCAACATATGAACGATTGTGGACCATTTGAATAATTCGATTATTCCTAATAAACTCAATTATTCTGGAAGTCAAAACATGCAAAGTGAAACAATAGTTAAACTATTAACATATGACAGTAACTTTACTTATAAATAAAACTCCTTTATTTAATCATCAAATGTTAATTACATTTATCTATTATACGTTTCTAATACTATCTAATCTATACTAATATCATCCTTCAGCCCAATACTCCTAGCATGCTGCAAGTGCTTAACCCTACTCAGTCCCTTCGTAAGCGGATCTGCTGGGTTATCTTCTGATGATATCCTCTTCACTACGAGTTGTCCTTCTTCTACACGATGTCTAATGAAGTGATATTTTCTATCGATATGTCGAGATCTACCATGATCCCTTGGTTCCTTGGTCAAGGCAACCGCACCTTCGTTATCACAGAAAATCTCCATGGGCTCCTTTATGGCCGGCACAACTCCAAGATCACCAATGAAGTTCTTTAGCCATATTGCCTCCTTCGACGCTTCGCTCGCTGCAATGTACTCTGATTCGCACGTTGAATCAGCTACGGTTTCCTGCTTGGAACTCTTCCATGTCACTGCTCCTCCATTTAGGGTAAAGACCCAGCCCGACTGCGAACGGTAGTTGTCCCTGTCGGTCTGAAAGCTGGCGTCACTATACCCTTGCACCTTCAAGTCATCACTCCCTCCAAGGACTAAGAACCATTCCTTCGTCCTCCGAAGGTACTTAAGGATGTTTTTCACCGCAATCCAATGTGCTTTGCCAGGGTTCCCTTGATATCTGCTAACCATGCTCAAAGCGAAGGCTACATCAGGGCGTGTACAAGTCATAGCGTACATGATTGAGCCAACTGCAGAAGCGTATGGTACTCGGCTCATTTATGCTATCTCAGCTTCGGTACTCGGACTTTGAGTCTTACTCAACTTGGCATTTCCTTGTATCGGTAGTTCTCCCTTCTTTGAGTTTTCCATACTAAAACGTTTTAGTACCTTCTCTAAGTAAGTATTCTGACTAAGTCCAATTAGTCTCTTACTTCTTTTCTTACTATCCTTATTCCCAAAATGTAAGAAGCCTCTCGAGGTCCTTCATAGCGAAACACTTCCCGAGCCAGGACTTGACTTCCTGCAGAGTCGGGACATCGTTTCCTATGAGTAATATGTCATCGACATATAGAACGAGAAAGCTTACTATACTCCCACTGGCTTTGACATATACACAAGATTCGTCTTCGCTTCGTACAAATCCAAACTCTTTGACTTTCTCATCGAAGCAAAGATTCCATCTGCGAGACGCTTGCTTAAGTCCATAAATGGACTTCTCAAGCTTACACACTCTATTCGGATGCTTCGGATCCACAAACCCCTCTGGCTGAGCCATGTAAACATCCTCAGTCAACTTTCCGTTAAGGAAAGCGGTCTTGACATCCATTTGCCAAATCTCATAATCATGAAATGCGGCAATTGCTAGCATCACTCTAATAGATTTAATCTTCGCAACTGGTGAGAAGGTCTCATCATAGTCAACTCCGGGAGTTTGAGTAAAGCCCTTCGCGACCAATCGCGCTTTATATGTGTGTACATTCCCATCCACGTCGATCTTCTTTTTGATGATCCATTTTCACCCAATGGTCTTACGTTCGGGCACATAATCAACCAAATTCCAAACTTGGTTATCGTGCA